TATATATATATATATATATTATATATTAAATATAATATTATCTGTTTATCAAGTCTACGGGTTTATCTATTATAAGAGCATTAAACCAAACACAAATAATTTACTAACTTATAACTTTGCAGTTATATCTATTATAAGAATAATAAACCTTATACGGACTATTTATTAAATCACAAGTCTGTAGGTATACCTGTTATAGGAAAATATTAAACCTGACATTATCTTCTCACTAAACTAGAAGTCTAAAAGTATATCTGGTTTACGAATACTTAACAGGAACTGTTTACAAAACCATAAGCTTGCACATATATCTATTAGGATAGTATTAAACCTAATACTAACTATCTAACAAAGTACAATGCTACAGCTCCAGTATTTTACACATTTTAAACCTAACACTGATTTTTCACAAGCATGCAAATGTGCAGGTGTGTTGATATATTTATTCATCAGTTAAATTATTTTAGTAAAATAACAGATTTTTTTTTTAAATTAGGTCCTCCGGTGGAACAGCGGTAAATCTATGGACTATACATAATATCGAGGTTCGATTCCCCGTGATGGACACAACAGATAGCCAATGTGGCTTTTTTTCTAAAACAAACAATCATCAAACTAATGTCTTAGGCTTGATAGCTTTTAGGTGCTTTATTTTACTGGCGTTATTTGGCTGACGTTAGTCTGAAGAGATTGCTAAGATCAAACTCGTTGTTCTATGTCCGTAAAGAATTTAATAACATGAAAAAACTTTGATTAATATATACTAGAGATGACATGAAATTGTGTTGAAACTGTAAGAAGACAAAAACGTAATAAAGTCTTCATGATATTTCAACGAATCAAAAGGAAAACAAATATAAAAGTAGTAAAGATGACATGAATTTTGCTGAAGCCCTAAAAATCATGTGTAGTAAAGTTGTCATTTTGTTGAGATTTTAGGAAGCCAAATAAGTAATAAATATGACAACTGGTGTAGTAAAACTTTACTAAAACAGGGAAATCCACTGATTTCAATTTAATTCCCTAAGTATTTGAATTCAAATTGAGAAAATATTGAAAAACCTGAGCCTGTGCTATCTCACGGTGAAAAGAAATTGAAATGGTTTTATTAAAGATCAAACAATTTTCCTGTTTCTCTGTTTATTTTAAAAGGTTTAAAGCGTATGAATGCAAGATAACGTTGCTGTTTGTTTCTTTACAGAGCCCCCTAACAGGTTTGTTAGAAGAAAGTCGGGTAAGTCTGACAAGCCATTTTTATGTTCCATAATTTTATTTTTTTATGTATCCAAACATTATTTGCGATGCAAGTCTAATATTTTTATTATTCACTTTCCATGTATTCCTAATGTAAGCCTCTAACTAGAAGTATGATATTAAATCGCTAGTAATAAAATGTAATACATGTTATATTGGGCCATGGTTTTATTTATTTTGCTAATACTGTAAGTAAAAATGTGAAGATGTCAGTTTTAGTTTTATGTTTTATGCTTGATGTGTTGAAGGCTTGGTATGTCGATATAGAGGTGTAGTTGTTTAATGAGTCTCTTACATAAAAACATTCAAAATCGTCGCCAGCCATTCGTTGAGTACAAACGTTATTAATCTCGCAAGCTTTGCCTGATAAGCTTCTATTAACCGGCATTTTGTGTTTTGTATTAAGGCTTTGTCAATATAGTCAGTCCAGATTTAGAAATATCAAAGTGCTATTTATTGAGTAAAGACGTACATAATTAATAAACAATAAATGTGTTACAATTTCTTTATATAGCCCATTGAAACGTGTTAGACATGTGTATTGTAAGAGCTAAATATAAGTTTAACAGATGAGAATAGAAAAAGCCGTTTTAGCTAACACGTTCACTTCATAATAATTTAAAATCCAGTTGTTCTCATGGATTCATGACTTATAGCATAACATCACTTAATCTGCAATTAATTGTTAATTTATGACGAGTTTGCATTTGATATGCTGAACAAGTTGGTGAATAGTTTTTCATAATTCATGACAAAACGGCAAGAAAAGAAAAATATTCTTTTTTGCTTCAGACTCGCACAATAAAGGTATAATTCGTTATTAGTGTTTTCTTTGTCACTTGTCTGGTGTACCTAAGCGACACGATGTCCTTTGTTTTAAAACAAAGTACTAAATTATCTTTTCATGAAGCTGAATAAATAAATTACTTACCAGATTGATGTTATTCACGGAACAACAGCAACAAAACAGTCGACTTGCTATAATGAATTTCAGTTTTTAGCGATTTGTTAGTTTATGAAGCTCCGACCGTGTAAGTTTCCACTTTACTTAAATACGTGTCAACTTTATTTAAAAACTTGTATCACCACATTATTGATGAAAAGTAGCGGTAACAAGGTTTTGAGGTATGATGTCGGTTGAGTATTAATGTTTAAAAAATCGATATGTTTTAGGAAAGAATAATTTGATTATGTTACTATCTGCAAATCACGTACACGTGGCCAGCGCGATTATTGTACGTTCCTCGATGACGATAGCCAAGTTGAGGCTTACAGCACTAAAATTTGAAGTTCGAATTTGGAGTTTGATCCCTGAAATGGACACAAAAAGATAAACTGTTGTGCAGTTTTGCGCTTAAAAGAAAACAAACAAACGGTTGTTTACAAAAGATACCAGTATTTCTGCACATGTTTAAAAGCTCTTGAATTGTATGAAGTTTAAATGTTTCTGATTTAGATCTACTTTTGAGTCAGTTGTGAAAATATCTTGACAGTGTTTTTCATACCCTGTACACTTACACTATGTATAATTTTACTAATTTTCACGACATTGACTTTAAGCAACTTTCACATTTCAGGGATGTAGTTCACGTACATCAGCAACACTTGGATCGCATTCAAGGGCAATTTCGTGTTTTTATAACGAATTGGAGACTCACTTTGAGGAATGACGTAATTCAGTCATTTCTTGCAATGTGGCCGTTACTATGTGGTATCAAGATGTGTTTTTCCTCTTTCGTTACTCTACCTGGTGATAAAATCGATACATTAACTAAGCATCTTAAGGTTGTGACTGTACATAAAAGTACAGAATATCTAGGGTATACTTATATTATTATTATTACTTCGCGCACTGCTGTAATTTCATTCTGTTGATCGAGAGCTTACCTACTCTCTGTTTGTTGCTACACTACAAAACATAGTGCACTGGGTATTATTATGCTACAAATTGCATTGCGTTTTGCTTCATCGCAAGTCATAAACTATTTGCTACGTCTTTATAAAAAATGAAGCCACATATTTCTTTAATATATTTACATTTATTGATTTTAATGTTGCAGTTTTACATTACTTATAATCATAACTGTTGTTTGTGAACAACTGTACGCTATTCATAGTCATATTATTGTCCTATAATTTGGTGATTTTAAAGAGCCGAGTGTCACATCTGTGTCATATAGAAGCTCCATGTGAACAGTTGTATATCATTTATAGTATTTCCCTTGTGACTTTTATTAGTTCATTTGCTGATTATATACAGATTACGTCACTTATAGTCATACACTTGATTTAATAACACACTTTTTCAATAAGAATAGTATTAAAACTGATAAATTTGATAAATTACTTACATATTTGTTGTTTTTTTTAATTGGAAATTAAGTTTTTTCAATGTTACATTTTAACTTTACTCGCCAGTTTAAAACTTACGATCTCAATTTATTCAAAAGTTTGGGAATTATTAGTTACTTTCTTCCAAAGATTGTAATTTACAGCTTTATTTATTTATTTTTTTTACAGTTTTACATGTTATGGTTTCACTTATTTTACGTATTTAGAAGTAATGGTTTGTGGTTTCACTATCTTCGTAGGATTAGAGGTTGTTATTTCACTTGCTTCAGAAGTTTATAAATAACATTTTAACTTTTATCACAGATTATCGTAAGAAATATGAATTCATTGTTGTTATACTTTGAAAAATTACAATTTCACTTACTTTCTAGTTTTCGCTGAGCAGTATGATCCAGCAGAAGATGAAGATGATGATAATGAAAAGGCAAGGATATATTAACATTTTTTAAACACACACATATCATCTTAAGGAGTAGTTTAAAAAGCTGTCAATTACATCATTCTTAATAATGTAATGATTATATTTCTAATATTTCAGTAACTTATCCAAACTCATATTGCTTATTAAAGTTAGAAAAGTTAATACTTTATCGTCATTAAGTCAAAGAAACAAAGAACAGAACTGAAATCAAAATTATATCTTGGGTCCTATGATTCGCTGAATTTTTCTAAAAATAAAGAGCCCGTTGATAATACATCGATAGTAACAACCTTTGGAGTATAAAAAGCAGGAAAAAATAGGAATGATAAAGTCCCTTCATCTGCAAAGCATAACTTTGTATGGCACAACATGAAGCTTTCTGGTCTTCAAGTAGTGAGTTAAAGCGTGATTTACCCGACCATAAAACTAGTTACATGTTATTTTTATGCACACTGTTTTACATCAGTACTATCTGTCCACCGTGGGAATTCGTACCCAGGATTTTAGCATTGTGAATCTTGAAACTTACCTCTAACCCATCGACGACATAACGAGATGAGCTTCTTATGATAATATATTACAAGTTTATCACGATGTGTAAATAGACGAATTCATTATGATAATTTAATCAAATTATGCAATCTTCTCTGTTCTGCAAATTATTTATATATTATTTCTTGATCAAATCCTGTTTTTTAATCGCTTTATTTACTTTTTTTCAATTGTAATCTTTAGTTTGAACTATATATTTATTGCTTGTTTCACAAAATAACCAGCCGTTCATTGTTGTTCCCCGATGGGTCAGCAGTACGTTTTCGCATTTACAGTACTAAAATCCGGGGTTCGACTTCCCGCAGTGGACAGAGCACAGAAATGTCCATGGAGAAAATTGACACTAAAAAAAACAATAATAGCAACATTTATCGTTCCCATTATAAAATATACATCAACGGAGCTCTGTATAAAGTTTAACCTTTACCTCTAGATAGATAATGTTATGAAACCATGAACAATGATATTGTTTACTAAAAGTCATATACATACTAATATTGCTAAGACTGAATCATACACAAATATTTTCCCTCAAGTCTTTATCACTTCCATTTCATAGAAGTAGGCCATCTGAAAAATATTTCGATATATTATTAAGATTTTTAAAACAATACTTATATTTTGTGAAAATTTGTTTTGGAAACATTTTTGTTTTAGAAAAGGTAGTTTGAACATATTATGAATAACTGCTATGAACTATAAAAAAGCAATTAAATGTATAATGAATATGTTAACTGCATATCTGTTGATTTAAAATCTGACAAATTGAAAGACGACACTACATAAACAACCTGCTAGATCATAATGGATATGAAAAATGCGTAATTGAAAAATTGACCAAAATATTTATCTCTTTCATAGCTGGAGGATATTATGGAAGCGAATATTTCGAGAATAAAGATGTTTTTCTTTAAAGTAATTTAAAAGAAAGGAAGTTCTTAATGCCAATTTATTATTTGTTCATAAATATTAGAAGCAATATCATTTGTAAAAATTGCTTGGAGCTAATCGTAACGTTGTCCCATAACAACAACACCTTATACACAAGTTCATACAAAACATAACACTAACGATTACATTCGATCACTTGTATATAAGTTATATAAGAGAATGTTCTACTTCATTTAACTTTTTAAAGATATTCCGATTCTGTTTATAATTGCAACATGTGTTTCGTTGTCGAATACAATATTTATTTATTGGTTTGATTATTATTACTTAAAAATACCGAGAACATTATAAAGTCTTCTCATAAATTATAGCAGCTTTAGTTTAGCTTATATGAGAAGAACTAAGGCTAAGTTCCTCGATTACACTTGTATCATTCAGAAAAACAAAACACAACTAAAAGTTCTAAATTACATTTGTGAAATGTATTTCTATTAAAGCCTATAAAAGCTGAAATGTTTGTTTGAAAAAGAAAGTTTTGTGTTAAGGATATAAATATTTAACAGAAAACTTCTTTCAGGCCGTATATCCCAAGACAGAAGAACAGAGACAGAGACTGGAGGAATCAGTTCAAAATATCTTGTTGTTTAGGTCCTTGGACGAGGTGTGTTGGTATAAGTTTCTGTATATATTTACATTAGTATAAAGACAATGTTATCATATCAAGGTTTTAGTTTCGGTAAGCCGTCGGACAAAGTAATCTTTGGACAAGCTTTGTCGGTATATGTTTCTGTATTTATTTATATTATTATCAAGACAATGTTATTATATCAAAGTTTTAGTTTCAGTAAACCGTTGGACGTAATCTTGTGAATTTTGTGAAACTATCAACTGTACCAGCTTTAAAAATAGTACTCAGGAGTGAAAAAAAATATCACTAAGCCACTGATATTCCTTAAGTTTTTTTCTCTTTTCAAGGAAAGGTGCGGATTTAGATAGAACTGTGAACTTGGGAGTTGTTGAACCTGGTTCAATTCCGTGCAATACCACAAAATATCCCCCACACACTTTAGGTTATGGTTGAGTTATAAGAATAGCAGTCAATTATTTAACATGTACGGTAGGTTACCACAAAATATCCCCCACACACTTTAGGTTATGGTTGCGTTATAAGAATAGCAATCAATTATTTAACATGTACGGTAGGTTGTTGTTGAAGTTAAGCACAAAGATACACAGTGGGCTATCTGTGCTCTGCCCACCACGGGTATCGAAATCCGGTTTCTAGTGTTGTATGTCCGCAGACATACCGCTATGCCACTGGGAGACTCTTTGGTGGGTGGTGGGTTTTCTATTGACTGGCTGTCTTCCTTCTGGTCAGTAGTTAAAAATTAGAGATGGTGTCAGATAGCCTTATAGCAGCTTTCCATAAATACAAAATATAACTATTGTTTAGTGACGTAACAGGGGGAAAAATGTTTATTTTCCAAAATCTAAAATAAAACTTTTGAATAATAGGTTTTTTTCATTTCTCCAAAGTGCTTATCAGTTGAAAAAAAAAATAAAACATTTTTCTTGTAGAATGAACCTGTCAATATGATTGCTGGTTTTATTTGTACTGTTTAGACCTATTTATGTTATTAGTACTATTTCTACCCGTCTCTATCATTATTTATGGTATTAGTATTATTTTGACCCACAATAAATTATACATTTAGTACAATTTAACTATGTATATATATATATATATACATATATATATATTAAGAAATTAGTTCTGTTGTGGACACGTGAGGTAACGTCAAATGTGATATCTTATGCTTTAACTGAAATACATCTTTATAACACTTTTCATTAAATTTCAACTTAGAAATTCTCTTCTTCACTTTTAATAATAAGTACTTTTGATACACTTCTTACAATCACATTGTTATGTTATGTTTTTTAATTACGTTACTGAATCTTTAATACATTTCTTAATGATATCGGGAACGTCTTTTCCGGAACAGTTGAAGGCTTCTATCTTTGTTTAACATAATTGTTTACGTTATTAATTATGTGTATACAGTTATATGTAAAAAACATATAATACATAACACTAGTTCCTAAATGATTTTAACAGTCTGATTATACTGTCTTCATTTAACTATTATAACATGTGAACCTAATGTAAGTATGAAATAGTGACAGTCGCAATAAAAAAAAAAAGATTTATTTTTCCAAAATACGATTGTCGTATTTGAATACAAAAAGTCCTGAAAAAACGTAACATCTAACTCAAATTAAGTGTTATAAATTGACTGACTGCAAATAGAACTATTTCACAAGACACAGTGTGACTAGAGTTGAATATCATGAAGTAAAAGTAGGCAGAATTATATACTCGAGCCTAGACTGTGCTAGACGGACAGTTACATTGTATCAGCTCCTTTAAATATCCTGGAAAATCTGTTAAAACAATGTAAGAGCAGCTTTTATAGGAAAACAAGATTATTATATGCTAGGATTAAACAATATATATATATATAATTTAAAAAAAAAAGGTAAATATACCCAAAAGAAGAAAAACTAAATATTTCAAATTTATGTTAGATTTTAATCCAAATGTTCTAATGCACTTAAATTATTAAATGTAACTTAGATCAAATATATAAAATACAAAGTGTCCAAAAAGCGTGGAACCATAGGCACTTCAACGAATTTTACAGAATGTGTTCTAAATGCTGTCATTGTAATTCAAAACAAATTTAGATTAACAGCAGGATTAACTCGACCTTCTTATGTTTTGACAGCGCCATAGTCAGTCACGTATCTGAAATTAAGAAAAACTGCAAAGCACCTAATGTTCCAGACTTTTCGGACACCCTGTATGCTATATTTTGTTAATGTGAATTATAATGTGGAATATTTTAATTTTTCAGCAACAAATGCGGAAAGTTCTGGATGCCATGTTTGAGAAAAAAGTGAGCTAAATCAGATATTTTCATATTCACGTATTTAGAAAAGTTCTTGTTGTACACAGCTTGTGTACAGGACAGATAATTAGAAGATCAAAGACAGCTACTGTTTAGGAAAGAACGCATAATTATATCTAGAAAAATATAAATACAAAATATTAAATAATAACCTTATCGAGTAAAATATAAACAAAATAGAAAAGTAAACGTCATAAAAATCAATACGGTTTCACTGGATTTATGAAACTTATTTGGATGTGGAAATTTTTATCTTAATGTTAGTGTTGAGATTATGACATAATTTTAAGCAAATCCATATATTCAATGCATATAATACATTTATTTTATAATACCAAGCATGTTCCTCTTTATAACATTTATAACCTAAATGTCGGATGTAAAGCGGTCGCCTTAAAGCTTTCTTGTTCTTAGTTTTTAAAAAGTATTATCAAGTATATTCCCTTTTGTAACGTATATATAACCAACATAAGTATAAAGAAATCGCCTTAAAGCTTTCGTAGTCTTAGTTCTTCAAAAATAATATCAAATAATGCTTCTTCATTCGTCTGATTTGATTAAAATCTGCTTAAAAGTCTTCTGATATGATTGTTTTTACGAAATAGACACATGTTAAACTAAAAAAAAAAAGATTTGGAGGAATATTTTTGCAAAATCCGATAAAAAGATACTTATTTCGTTGCGTTAGAATAGTTAAAAATACATTAATTTTTAATTTTCGTGTGCACTGTTTGTATTTATACAAATGTGTCACATTTAGTTTGACAGACCAGCTTTTTTAATCATTTGCCCGAAGCTGCAGAAATGCGATCCACTTTGTAGCTGTGGGTGCGTTATAAGAGTAACGTTCAAAAACTAGTTTCAGTGAAAATAAAATGGCGGTAGGTGCTTTTGACATGTAGCCTTCTCTCTAGACTGTTACTTTTAGAATTAATGACGGCTATACGAGAAATTCTGAAGAAGAAAAAACAGTTAGTCATTTGTTAAGTTGGACAGTAAAATTAAACTTATTAAAACATACAGCTCCTCTGCATTCACTATCAAGTCCAATAAGTACACAATGCGTTCATTAACAAGTCTTCTCTGTATTCAATAACAGGTTCACTGCGTTCATTAACAAACCTACTCTGAATTCACTAACAAGTGCACATCCCATTCATTTATGAAATATTACCAATTTTCTACGTACTCAAACGTGGTGTTGAACTTTCTAAGTGATTTCTACCAGCATCTGGTGACACAAAAAAGTTAAAAGCATTTAGTGAGACTCCCAATTTCTAAATTTCGACAATTTCATGGAATAATTCTTATTGTAAGTAACTGTAGGATGTAAGGACAAAGCGATCAAGCCTTGTTTTAATTCATGTTCATTGCTTTCTTGTTCATTTTTTTTTCGTTTTTTTGCAGCAATTCAAAAAGCAGTCAACAGAACTGCAACCGATAACTCAGTAATGTTGATAAGCTATAACGGTTTATTAAATTTATTTTTATTTTTACCCATGTTTTCTTACTAGAAAGAGAATGTTAAAGACATGTTCCATCTTTTGCTTCATCATCTATCATCTGGTTTAGAGGGACGTTCAAGAAATACCATCCCTCATCAGGGACTCATAACTAAGCCAACCCAAATTGATCCGTTCTTCTGAATTAGACATATGTTTGAGGAATATCATCTCTCAGGTCCTGGCCAAATCAATATGATTTACTATTCTGGATCAGATGGGCGTTCTGGAAATATTATCCCTGGGCTAAGCGAAACGAAATCTGAGAACACTATCCTACATCGGCTATCCAGGGCTTGACTTCCATTCCTCTAGATTAGATAGATGTTGGGGGGGACACCATCCTTCATCAGTAATCTTGGGCTAGAGCAAAACAAAATCGGTCAATTTTTCCTAGTAATAAATATGTTTGAGAAATACCATCTCTCACATATCTGTGTATTGGGCCAACTCATATTGTTCAACTTTTCTGGATTTCGTAGATGTTTGGGGAATACCATCTCTCACCAGTAAATCTGGGCCACACCATATCAAATAGGCCAATTCTTTGCGACTTGACAGATGTTTAGAGTATACCATCTCTCACCAGTAATCATAGGCTATACACGCACACACACATATATCTCTATGTGCCAAACCAGAAAATGAAAATGAAACCTTAGTTTAAGTCGGAGTAGGATGCAACACCTTTACTATTACAGAGAAAGACTAAGAGACTTGTACCTGATTCAAAATTAAGAAAATAAAATATTACTATTTATGGATTTAATATAACTCCATTATGATGCCCCAAGAAATTGTCAGCGAGAACTATTAACAACTAGCATGAGTTAATCTTCACAAACCCTTGTAATAAAGGCAATCAACTAGCATGAGTTAATCTTCACAAACCCTTGTAATAAAGGCAATCAACTAGCATGAGTTAATCTTCACAAACCCTTGTAATACAAGCAATCAACTAGCATGAGTTAATCTTCACAAACCCTTGTAATACAAGCAATCAACTAGCGTGAGCCAATCTTCACAAACCCTTATAGTACATACAATAAACTAACAGGAGCCAAGCTTCACAAGTCTCGATAGTACAAACAATCAACTAATATAACAGGCTTTAAACGCAAGAAGTTCGACAAACAAGCTTTTCAAATAATCGTTCCTTGCCAGCTAGTCGTAAAGAAATATCATCACTAGGTTAACGAAGAAACATATTACAGTTTAAAATTTTCTTAATATCCAAACAGAATAAGATGAGTTTTCTTGAATATTAAATTGGGTGAAACATATAAAATAATTTTGCTGGATCAATTGTATTTTTGATCAACAATGTCTTTGAACTGAAAATTCCTAAGCCTTTAATATTGACCATTAACTTCTGATCAAAGCAATTTACTTTGATGAATTATAACTAAAATTATTCCAAGTAATTAATATAGCTAATTTAATAAATCATTCCAACTGCGTTTATACAAAGTCATAGATCAGAATGTGAAAGATATTTTCAGTAGTAATCCAAATAATATTTCATGATTTGAGTCAGCTTAGGAGATTTAGGTTAGTTCAAAAACCATACACTAGGTTTACAATATAAAAATCATGATAAATAATATACAATGAAATATATGTATAAATTACATATGTTAAAAATGTTAATTAATACGCTTAATGAAGCTTATAGTAAAGAAAGAGTAGAGTACAACCCACTTACAAAACACAAACAAACTAGTTGTTTGCTTCATGAACTATCATTTTAGCTACTTTAAACATTTCGAAGAGTATTCACTTATATCAGTTCGAGTATTTTTTGCTAGGTTGAACCAGGGCAAGTGGTAATCAAACAAGGCGATGACGGGGATTATTTCTACGTCATACAAAAGTAAGTAAACTTATATTCAAGGACCTCTAACAGTGTGATTATTAACATCTCTGATGTTCCCGTTTAGATAGACAGTATTAACGTGTTTTTATAAAACAGATAATTTAATGCAACAGTATTGATCTACGTTTCATTTGTGACCCTATTTCATCCATCAGCCTGTACATATATATATATATCATTTCATCCATCAGCCTGTATATATGTATATATTATTTCATCCATCAGCCTGTACATATGTATATATCATTTCATCCATCAGCTTGTACATATATATATAT